CCAAAAAAATGGATGAAAAAATGTGAAAAATGCAAAAAGGCAACGCCAAGACTCAAACCTGTGACCTTAAGCATTTTTGCGCGCTGCCTTACCACTGGGGTAGCTGTACATCCGTTAGTTCAAATGAAACTAAAAATACATAACACAAAATGCTTCCTTGCCCTGTACTTCGTCTTCTTCCTCTAGCTAGCCAGACCCCATGTATCTCTCTCATTTATCCATAAAAATGGAAACTTCAAACATGAAAATGATAATACTCTTTCCCACGATTTCAACCATGTAACTCATGTAAGCTAACAGTCAAAGATCAAAGCTAATTTCATTGGCCTTAATTTCAAACCTAATTTTTTACAGAAATTTGAAATCTAAAATTCTCTATACACAATGAATATAAATGAAATTTATGCACATGGTTGGCTTTAGCACAAGGATATCTACATTTTATTTTCACAAATCGAGACCCAAGGATGCATGTATGAAGAGATAGAAGTTAGAGTTCTTACCTCTTTCAGCTGAGATCCTGAATGGTGTTTGAGTGAGTTTTGAGAAGGCCTGAGGATCCCTTTAGCTTGCCTGGACCTCCCTGAGTGTGTTCCAATCCTTACCTTGCCCTGAAAGTGCCTGAATCTCCCTACCCAAGTCAACCTACAAGCTTGAAATGAAAAAATGGAAGATGGAGAAGGAGGAGTTACAGTGAAGGGATGATGGTCTGGAACACTTAGATATGATGTAGGTTAAGTGTTTAGTTGATTAAAACTTGAAACGCACGAGTGGATTTTGAGATTGCTATGCTTGATGCAAAACTGCAAGTTATGGCAGGTTTTTGGTGATAGAGAGCTTGGGATAGTTTCTGAGCTTTTGCAATCGTGTTCTAGGGCACAATATATTTTTGTATAAGTATAGAAAAGGTTTCAAATCAATTCCACACCAAGCTTGAGTTATAGACTTTTTGCTCTATTGCTTGCCTTTTAAGAAAAGTGAGGAGACAACTCTCTACATGCTTGTACAAGCCTGATATGAGTTGGTACAAGTCTTAGGCACTTTGCTTTTGGTTTATAGGACTTGTGTGTGCAGAAGGAACAGGTGCAAAGCTCAAGGAGTTGCCAAATGCAAAAGTTATGCTTTTCTAAAATGGAAATGGCAACTTTGTGCCATTTATGGAATTAAAGCTTGGACAAAGGCTCTCATGTTTGGATTAAAGCTTTATCAACTGTGTAAGAATTAAATTATGGAGTGAAAAACAAGTTTGAGACCTGTAAAGCAAGGATTATGCAGCCTAGGTTTGGATTTGAATTTTGGTTCATCATGAAATGGCTTGAAATCAAAGTGAAAAATTACCAACTTCATCTCTTCGATTCTCCCTACTCAAAAATGATCTCAATGAGTTCTTGGACATTTTGGAAAGCTTGCAATGTGCTTTAAAACTCATCTTTGAATTGCTTTCCAAGATTTCACTTGGAACTAGGTGAAAAGTTGCCATGAAGTTAGGTCAAAAACCTGCCTAAATTAGGGCAAAATTTCACTAAGCTATTTTAGTTCATGAGCATGTATTCACAAAATTATATCTTGAGATCCAAACATCTTTAGAAAAAAATGTGTGAAGAAAAGTTGTAGATTTCATGGAGATCTACAACTTTAATGTTGGGAACTTCCTTTGAATCATCTTGTATCATGGTGAGAATTTGGCTTAAAGTTGAGAAAAAATAAGAAATTTTCTATACTTAGAAAAATTTCTAAGTTAAGAAAATTTCAAATTTCAAAACAAAATCTCCAATCTTTGATTTCTTGATGAACAAGTTTCACATTTTGACATATTTTGATGAATTGTGGTCCTTGGCACTTGAATTTGACAAAAAGTCAAAGTTTGACTTTTCAGTATACAATTGACTTTTGATCAGTTGACTGAAAAATTCATCTGTCAATCCAATGGATTTGCAATGTTTTGAACCATGGATTTAGGTCAAGATGATGCAACTTAACTCTTAAAATCATGCTTTAATTAAATTGATCATTTGTTAGGTCAAAAGTCAGAAATTGCCCTTTCTCAGTCAAAACCCTAATTTTGACCATTTTGCCCTTTTGATGTTTTGATGAAATTTCTTGAGGAATTATGGTCCAAACTTTGATCAAATGATTCATATGAGTCTAAAATGTTGATGTGGATAAAAAATTATGAAGTTTGACTGTAAATTGGCCATGGTTGACTTTTTCCTCAATACAGTTGATTTTTAGGTCAACTGTCCAATTGACTGATCAAAAATGTGATTCAAGGCTTGAAACTTGACATGAGTAATATTAGGGGTCTATAATGATACTTGAAAGTCATATGAAGTATTGATAGCCCAAAAATCTTTGTGCAATCTCAAAACCCTAATTTTGGGTTATCAGTGCATGATGAAATGTCTTTAGCTGATCAAACCCTAATCCAGTCTTGAGTCAAAGAGATCTTGTGAGAATAGTCTTGATAAATGAGAGGGCAAATTTTGGGGTACAACACATGATATTGTGATAAGGACTAGCCCACGATGACGAGAAGTCATGTACGATTATGATTTGAGGTAGTTTAAGAGTCACGATAACGTGAGTTGAAAGACTCTTCAAATGACTAGTGACGCTTAGGAGCAAGTGTATGGTCACAACCATATGTGTTTTGTGATATTAGTAAGATTTATGCTCTTTTAGAATGTAAAGAATGATCAATTTTTCCCCTTGGGGAAAAAGTATTTATATAGGCATTTTGGACCTAGAGTTTAAGTATTTTTCCTCCTTCATTATCACCTCGTTCGAAAAAAAGAAAGTCTGATTGGGTATAATAAGAGCTAACATCCCTGTCAAAGTGGATCGTAGACCAATACTTCAGATATGAAATTCGATAGTATCGAGGGAAGTCAATAGGGATATAACAAAAAAAGAGTTGTAAAGGTGAGATGGTTAATCAATACTAAACGTCCTAGAAAATTGCCCCAATCCAAAGTGAAGGGGTCGAACTAAGAGATGAGTGACTGGAGGTGAAGGAACCTCTGATTACGAAAGTTGTTCAGGGAAGTAATCATGAGACGAAAAAGATTGAAAGATAAGCTAAGAGAGGACTTTCGCGATTTGTACTACACACACAATTGGAAGACCATCACATATGCCCATGACCCCGAATGAAATTGGGAAGATGAAACCTTCAAATATTTCAGGACGACTAGCTGAAATTCATAAAAGGGTAGTCATAGTCATATTCTTGTAAATAGACACTCATAAAATGAGACCATGCAGTCAATCAAAAGAGTTGCATACCCTATTCTCATATGGCATTGGAAGAACCAACCACTTTGTAGGATCATCGACCTCAATGTTAGTATCACTTAAAGACAAATAAAAGCTCACTACTTTTGCATCCACCCAATCATACATCGACACATCCTGGCTATTCTGAAGATTCAAGTGTTCTAACACCTCGACGATTCTAGGCTCACGACCCTCCGTTCGTAGACAAACCTCAACGAATTCCCTAGCATGTTCCCTCATTTTAAATTTGGCTTATACCTCCTGTTTAGAAAAGATAAGAAGGGGGCATAGGGACCTCAACACCACTTGTTCCCCCCTCCCCCCGCGAACATTTGATATAAGGGTGTCTAACGACCCGCAAGAAGAAGTTTCTTCCTCCAAGGAAGTCTCAAACATCACTTCCGACTTAAAATCGATAGATATGGATATAATTGACGGTCCTATCTGATCGCTATTAAGGGAAGGGTGAGGAGAACCATGAGACGATCTGATTAACTCACCAAATCAACATTATTATCGATCATCTTGACTAAATGAAGGAAATGTTTATGGAAAAAATTGAGTTACAAAGCTACCTGATTATGAGAGATAGAATGAGCACGAGAAATAAAAAGGGAGAAAGCTTTAAACAGAGTTGTGAATCACTTCTAGTGATATTCACAGGAAAAAGGAACAAAGACGTCTCTTTGTTGAAAAGTAACAGTATGATTTAAAGCTAAAAAGGTTGTAAAAAAGTTTCAAATATTTAACTCGCTATAAGCAACAGCAACTGAAAGATCAAGGTCAACTATGAACAATAATCACAAGATCAACGACTAGATTTCCACTCATAGATACACGCAACTCGAGTGTACTTAAGTACTCTATAAACTACGTCATATCCTAGTTGGTTATGTCACTGCATGTATTAGGAATGGGTAATGAAGCATTTCAATGATATAATCACATTAAATGTGTCGGTTCTCCATTACTCTTTCAAAACTGATCTCAAGCGATTCAGTTCAATTCGTCATCAGATGATGACATGGAGGCCAACCAATGATATACTTAAGGCTTCCCTCGACTCCTTTAGTACCCAATAAAGCCTTGTAGGCAACTTTTTTTGGACCGGCCAAATGTCGAAATGGTCAAGGCTCAATCCATCTCAAATTCACTCTACTCGTCCTAATGTACAAAATTTCTAATCTTCAATTTCACTATACTCTTTACGAATTTTAAACTGAGTTGAGTGTTGGAATGTTAGCCATACAGATTCACCTTACACCAATATAAAAAAGACCAAAACTATATTTAAAGATCAACCGTTATTAAACTTTTATTTTTAAGTATTGAATTAGAATATTCATTTCTATTTTCTAAACGAAACATAATAAAACAGGTATGTATATGACAAATTCAAGAAAAATGTCAAATTTAAAGGGTGGGAGACTTAATTTTGCTTATATAGTGTTGAGTTTATGTATCGACCACAAATTTAGCTGTGCATATGGAAGGATATTTTGCTAGTGATTATTTATTGGGGGTAGTGATAGATGGACCCGTAACATATTGTGTACACTCGTTTGACATCCAATATAAATAGGCTTTTTATGACTAACCCCAAAAGTCTTCTAATAAACAAAGTTTATAAGAAAACTACTTTATCATAATTTAATGGCTTATTTATTGATATCAACCACCACAACAATTGCATACATACACACATCAAATCAAAGTACACATGTTCATACAGATTGTCCAAAGACACAAAATCCATTGTTTACCACTGTAAATCCTCCATCAACAACAAGATTGTGACCACTAACATACTTAGACTCATCACTTCCCAAGTACAAAACAGCTTCAGCCACTTCATTTGGCAAAAGACTAGCACCCTTTAAGTTGGAATAAACGCTTAAACACCCATCATCATCAAGCTTAAAGAAATTCTTAGCCAACGGAGTAGCAACAACATAAGGAGACACACAGTTCACCCGAACACCGGCTGCTCCAAGCTCGACCGCCGTGTTCCTCGTCAATCCCACAACTGCATGCTTTGAACTCGTGTAAGCATGTGAAGCCACACCACCTATGCTTCCACAAACACTAGCTGTGTTAATTATGCTACCTCCTTTAGCAGGGATCATTACTCTTGAAGCGTGTTTTGTTCCGAGAAAGACACCAACCAAGTTAACGTTAATCACTTGTTGAAAATCGGATAATTTGTATTCAAGTATGTTGGTGTTATTTACACCGGTTATGCCAGCGTTGTTAAACATGATGTCCAGTTTACCGTGCTTGGAAACCGTTGTGTTCACTGCGTTTTCTATGTCTTTTTCATTTGTCACGTCGCAATGAACATAAGAAGCTGATGATTCGTGTAACTCTTGACAAATAGAGTGACCTTGTTCGTCTTGGATGTCAGCTATAACGACTTTAGCTCCATTTTGAGAGAAGAGTCTCGCCGTGGCCTCGCCGATGCCGCTTGCACCACCGGTAATCAGAGCCACCTTCCCCTCAAGCCTTCATATATGATACACAAAATTATTGGTTAGTTAAGTGCAATATTTAAAAGATTCGTAAGTGTGAAGAAACACATTATATAATAGGTTACTAACCTACTATGCATGCTTGCAAATTAAACAAAATGAAGTTACAACTAGATTACCTTTTTAGAGCAGCAGAGACCAACGAACCAGTAGCCATGACTTTACCTTAAAATCAAATCACACAAATTTTCAAATTTACACTATCTAATTCTTGAAAAAGTGACAAGTAGTAATGTCGGTAACGATTACGGAACCACATGATCATTTCAAGACATTATTGACGAATTCTCTTCCCTTCCCACTCTCTTCCGTACTTTGATTTGTGTGTCAAAGAAAATAAATATCTTATCGGTAGTCGGTGATCACATATTTCATTTTACATGTTTATATTTCTTTTAATGTTCTTAGTTCTATTTTGATATTGTTTTCTTTTCTTTAGTTTGTGTATACATGTATTTTTTTAAACTGTGGAGGTATTAATTTTTCTGAGAAAGTAAACAATCTTCTTTTTTTCATATGCTTTCTATATTTTTGTGGTTATAGGTGTTAGAAATATTAGATTTGATTAGATTTAATATTTAAATATAATTTAAATTGTATAAATTTAAATTTAATTAGAATTTTATATAAATAATTATAGTGTATTTTTATTTTGTATAATATAATTCAAGTGAATAATATTTTGTTTATTTTTTTTGTTATTTTCTCTTTCTTTCTTCACTAAGAGTGTCTCGCGCACTAACAAATTGATATCCAGAGTTTTCGATTATTGTTCTTGATCGAGTTTTCAAAAAATTCGCATCAGAGGTCGTATTTCAAAGACAAGTGAATCAACCGCTGCGAAGATGGCTAGTGATAAGGGCATTTTGAATTCTCTCCAATACTTGACGGTAAAAATTGGATCTGATAGAAAAAACAGATGCAATCCTTGTTTGGTTTCCATGAAATCTTAGAAATGGTTATCGACGGCGTTCTTGGGTTGGCTGCAAATGCAACCGAAGCACAGAAAATTGCTCGCAACGAAGTCAAGAAGAAAGATTGAAAGGCTGCTTATTGACTTCAGACGACAGGCAACACTGCTAATTTCGACTGGAGTTCTCATGCTAAAACGACAAAGGAGGCATGTGATATGTTATACTATGACGACTTATCCAGAGGGGAGTGAATAGATCCCCAATTAAAAATTATCTTTCAAAATGGTTACTTAAGAACTTATTTGAAAAACAATGTTGAGCAGGAGATTTTTGGCATAGACCAAAATGTAAGTATAAACGAACCTAGTTATTGGAAACTCGAATTTGCACAAGCCATATGGAATTAAGATAATGATAAAATCAATCAACATAATAGTATCTCAATTAATAGTTTATTATTAAACACAACAGTTTCTTATTTCCAATGAAATCATATTAAAAACATAAGTTGACACTTTATCGAACATGTGACGCACAATAAATTTTTTAGAATTTTCTTTGAGTTTTGTTGATATGAAAAATCTATTACAACCAAAGTGATTATAAGCTAATAAACAAAATAATTTAATCTTTAACAATCAAAGAAAAATTCTATACGAATCGATCAATCAAACAACACATTCAACAAATTACATATAGAGAACAAATGAGAGTAAGAGATAGAACATTACAATTTTCTTTTGAATTGAACAAGCTAAACAATTTGTCAAACACTTGGTGTGCAATCAAAGTTTCAAAATTTTCCTTTGTGATATGTTGATATGAAAAAGCACTTCTAATCAAAAGTGATTATAAGCAGCTCAACACACAATTCAAAACAAAAACAGTCTCACAAAATTCATATGCGTCGATAGATTACTCAATGCTATTTGACAAATTAATGTATGAAAATTAAAGCAAGTAAAGCAATAAAAGGAAATAGACACAAATATTTGTCTACACAGTTTCCTACTTTCGTTCTTGTATGTGGGTACGTCTGCACCCAATTCCAATGTGGAATTAGGATACTTTCTTACTTTGAAAAAAGTATGACTACAAGATAAGTGTTCAAGAGAAACCCTAGAAACCATAATCGTTTGATGTTAATTCAATCCCTTCTCTTCTTTTGATCTTCAACAAGATCAAGCACTCAATAGATTGACAATTGACTATCTGGATCTTGCTACTCCTTTGCGTTCTTTATCTCCAAAGCTTTCGCACAACATCAATTGCAAATATTGCAACATAAGACTTCAATTTCATTCGTCATTCTCTCGCTACTTTCTTTGCATTCTTTATCTCCAAAGGATTATTTGCATTCTTTATCTCCCAAGGGCTTCACTTGGCGGCAGTCCTCTTTTAAATATCTTGCACGAAAATTCACAAATCAATCAATGATCTTGAAGGACAAACCAACGGTTTTTCGGATGAAGACATTTACAAATCTCAACCCAATATTCTCGGCTACACAAGAACCTAATTGGACGTTATCAAACCTCGTCTAGATGGCACCCCAACAAAAGATAGTTACAATGGAATGTTAGTGTGTATGCATAGATTAGAGGTTGAAGACGAGGAGAAAATATAGGCTAATTTTATGGTATCATCAAGTTGGAATGATGTATGAATGATATATTTATAGTTGTGGAAGTTTAGATGCAAAAAGGAGATTTTCGGAATTAAAAAGAATTTAAAAATTGGCCCAATCAAACAGTATGTGCCGACCTGTAAATTTTATGTATCGACACATAAGTCAAATTTTAACTACGTGCGTCGACCTGAAAAACAGATATGTTGACCTAAGCAAGTCAAAGGCTACAGGATTTAAAAACGCAATACATGTGTCAACCTGAAATCTGTATGTGTCGACACATAAAATCAACATTTCTGGAATTTCTTAAAAGCTTCAGTATGTGTCGATCTGAAATACGTATGTGTCGACACATATAATTAAAATTTATGAAGAAAATTATTTTCATGAATTGGTCCAATTTTAAACTTGTTTTAAATTATACCTAAGACCTCTATTGTAAGGGAGTACCACGTGACATAGAGATACCGTTCAATATACCAAAATATCAAGTTTTCCTAGTTTTGACATCATGTAAAATATCTAACGGAGAAGTTGCACTCACATACTCCCTTTTTTTTATGATTGCAAAGCTGGCGACGATGCATTTCATGTAGTTATCGAAGTCTCCCCCTGACTTTGTGCTTTTCAATTTCATCTCGCATATGCTTCTCCCCCTTTTACAATATAAAAAAGAAAGAATGAAAATCGTGAGAAGTATCATATTCGAATACCAATACTAATATATAACTCATGCGTTTTTGCAAAGAAGAGAATACAATTACATATCCCCATATATATGTAACGATGCAAAATTAATAGATAACAAAAATAAAGTATTACCAAACATGTAATGCAATTTCATAAATAATAATGAATGCGATGCAAAATCAAGCTAGTCAAGTTGGTTCTATAGCGTCACAGTTATGCAACACAATACAATGGAACTCCCGATGTTGCACACGCATGTGCCTAGCATAGCGACAAGAACATGTCACTACTCAAACCAAAATGAAAATATTGTCATAAAATGTGACTCAACTTCAATAAAAATTGTACATGCAATTAACATGCTTACATTCAACTCATGCACAAATGCAAGAAATAATAATTTAAACACATTATTATGCATACAAGAGCAAGCTTATACAAATGTGTAAGAATTAATATATGAAATTATTATAAGCATATACATTGAGAACAAACAATGGTTATCAATTAAATTTTTCGAAAATGAACATTCATGGTTTTCATCATCTGAGAACATAGCAAGTATTTTTCATCAACTAAAACATGTACTAAGAAACTTCTTAATTTTGAAGAGAAATTTGGAACAATATTACCTCACTCTTGATGGAATAGAAGTTGCACTCACATGATGTAAAATACTTCAAACAAAGTGTTAGATTAAAAGTATAAAAGTGCAAGCATCATAATAAAGAAAGCAATATTAGAAGCATTAATAATCTACAATTCCTCATGTTTGTTGAAAAATGATTTGGTTGCAAACATTTTATGAAAACGTCGTCAAGTTAATTTTTACTATCAAAATACTCGAACACAACATCCCCTTTTTCAATATGATCGCGAAGGTAATTTCCCATGCACATGTTCCTTCCTTGAGTTACTTTATTTGGAGTCCTTGAAAGTAATTCAACGTCCCATAAGACTCATTTTAAACACTCCTCACATAAGCTTAGAGAACTCTTTGATGAGTTACATGTTAGTAGAAACAAATATGATATAGTGTCAAATATGTTATGCTTGATGTTTTAATGAAGATAAACATTCATGTGTACACATAAGTGTTTATAAGATAAAATAAATAAAAATATAGTATGATGAGATCATTACGAGTATATGAATTGAAAGCACGTCATGATTATCAATTAAGAATTATTTTGCAAATGAATACTCATAATATATATATATATATATATATATATATATATATATATATATATATATATATATATATATATATATATATATATATATATATATATATATATATATATATATATATATATATATATATATATATTATGAGTATTTATAGTTATGGAAATATCATCAAGTTGGAATGAGGCATAAATTATGTATTTATAGTTATGGAAATATATATGCAAAAAGAAGATTTTCAGAATTAAAAAGAATTGAAAAATTGACCCAATAAAATATTATGTGTCGACCTGAAAATTGTATGTGTCGACACATAAGTCAAATTACAACTGCACGTGTCGACCTGAAAAACAGATGTGTCAACCTAAGAAAGTCAGAAGATATAGGCTTTAAAATGGAGTACATGTGTCAACCTGAAATTCATATGTATCAACACATAAAATCAGGATTTCTATAATTTCTTAAAAGCTTCAGTATGTGTCGACCTGAAATACGTTTGTGTCAACACATACAATAAAAATTTATGCAAAAATTTATTTTTTCATGAATTGGACCAATTTTAAACTTGTTTTAAATGATTCCTAAAACCAATAATGCAAGGGAGTGCCACTTGACATAAATATACTATCCAATATACAAATATCCTATGTTTTTCTAGTTTTGAAATCATACAAAACATCTAATGGTGAAGTTGCACTCACATGATATTCTAGTGAAGTATTACCAAGAAGG